AGTCCTCCCCCCTGGGATCCCAGCCCTGTGCCCCTCCCAGAGCTGCCCCCAGGTCCTGGGCCCCATAAGACACCCTCAAGGATCCTGGCCCCACAGCCCACCAGAGCCACCCGCTCCGCCAAGTCACCTCCCCTCCAGATTCTGCCCCTCAGGATCCTGGCTCATAGCTCCCACTCTGAGCTGCACTCCCCCCAAAGATCATAGCTCCCTCTCCAAGCTACCCCCCACAAGGCTGCCTGTCCCACATCTTCCCCTGAGCTGCCCTCCCCAGCTCCCCAGACCACCCCCAGCCTGGCCCCCTGTCCCTCTGAGCCATCCCATTGCCAGGATTCCTCTTATCCCACAAAGCACCTCCCCCAGGGATCCTGGCCCTGCACCCTAGATCCAGCCCTATGGGTATCCCCCCAAATCCATTGCTCCTTGAGCTCTCTGCTCCCCTACCCAGTAACCCTCCAAATCTGCCTCAAAATTATTATGTCCCCCCAGTACCCCACATGCACAGTGGAGGTGGAGCAATTTCAAAGGAAGCCTCAAAGGGTTAAACTCAAAATGCCCTCCATTGGGGGTTGTTTCTTCAGTGCCAGGTGTCAGGGAAATGCCCTAAAATCTGTTGAAATTACCAGCAAATAGGAAAGAGCTCTTTTCCTCTGGGGCGGGGCGGCCAGTTACACAGGGACCCTTCGCCCACCGCTGAGATGCACCCACTTCTGGGGCAGAGTAGCTCCTAACCCCAGTGTCTGTCTGTCTGTCCTTATCCCTCAGGATTCCTGAGCACCGGTGACCAGTCAGCCAAGGGGAACTACGGGCTCTTGGACCAGATCCAGGCCCTGCGGTGGCTCAACGAGAACATCGGGCACTTTGGGGGGGACCCTGAACGCATCACCATCTTCGGCTCCGGTGCTGGTGCCTCCTGTGTCAACCTGCTCATCCTTTCTCACCACTCGGAAGGTACCAGCAGGGCCGGCTTTAGGCCAGTTCGCCCAATTCCCTGGAATCACGCCCCGCGCCCTAAAACCAGAGGGCTCCTGCTCTCTCTGTGCCCCCCAATTTTTGCTCAACCAAAATTATTTGTGTGTGGTTTTTTTTTTTTGGTCAACAAAAAATTCCCGGCTGCCGGGGCCCCGTTGAAACGGTTCGAAATGGGCCCCGCACTTCCTAAAGCCAGCCCTGGGTACCAGCTCCCCTCGCCAGCCAGTGCATGCTCTGGGCAGAGGGGGAGCCGGGTTCCCCCCCCCACCCCACCCCCGAGCCAGCCAGTCCTTCCCCTGGAGCCAGGCGGGAGCCAGCACCCTCTAGAGGGGACAGGCCCCTATTTATCTATGCATCCATTACCACACACACAGGTATGTCCTGCACTTTCTCTCTCTGACTTGATCCCTCCCCATAGGTCTCTTTCAAAAGGCCATTGCCCAGAGTGGCACGGCCATCTCCAGCTGGTCAGTCAACTACCAGCCGTTGAAGTACACCCGCATGCTGGCTTCCAAGGTGGGCTGCGATCACCTGGACACCAGTGAGACGGTGGATTGCCTCCGCCGAAAGCCATACCGGGAGCTGGTCGACCAGGACATCCAACCAGCCCGCTACCACATCGCCTTCGGCCCCGTGGTGGATGGAGATGTGGTGCCGGACGACCCAGAGATTCTTATGCAACAGGGGGAATTCCTCAACTATGACATCTTGATCGGAGTGAACCAGGGTGAGGGGCTGAAGTTCGTGGAGGACTCAATGGAGAACGAAGACGGAATCTCCGCCAGTACCTTCGATTTCACCATCTCCAACTTCGTGGACAATCTCTACGGCTACCCGGAAGGGAAGGACATCCTACGAGAGACCATCAAGTTCATGTACACTGACTGGGCCGACCGGGACAACGGCGAGATGCGGCGGAAGACCCTGCTGGCGCTCTTCACTGACCACCAGTGGGTAGCGCCGGCAGTGGCCACAGCCAAGCTCCACGCCGATTATCAGTCACCGGTCTACTTCTACACCTTCTACCATCACTGCCAGACTGACACCCGGCCTGAGTGGGCTGATGCTGCCCATGGCGATGAAATCCCTTACGTCTTCGGGGTGCCCATGATCGGCGCCACTGACCTCTTCCCCTGCAACTTCTCTAAGAATGACGTCATGCTGAGCGCTGTGGTCATGACCTACTGGACCAACTTCGCCAAGACAGGGTGAGTGGCCAGAGGGAGCAGCATGGAGGCTGGTGGGGAAATGGGGAAGTAAGAGAAAGGGAGGGCCATGAAGGTGGGAGTTGGCATGGGGAGCTGTGAAGAGCCTGTAGGGAAGCAGGGAGGCAGGGGAGGATGTTGAGAATGGTGGGTAGGCAGAGGAAGGGATAGAGAAATAAATGGGAGGCTGAGGTGTGTGGGGAACGGATGGATGGATGGAGGGGATGGATGGATGGGGTGGAAGTGAGTGGGTGGCTGGATGGATGGATGGGGGGTTGAATGTCCGTGGTAATGCATTGCATTCGTATCTCTTTGGAAGATCAGGTGCTCTTCAGAAGCACACACACACACAGGCTGTGTCTACACTGGCATCCCTTCCAGAAAAGGGATGCTAATGTAGCACATCGGAATAGCAAAATCCGCGGGGGATTTAAATATCCCCCGCGGTATTTGCAATAACATGGCTGCCGCTTTTTTCCGGCTTGGAGATAAGCCGGAGAAAAGCTCCAGTCTAAACATGATTGTCTGGAAAATAAGCCCTTTTCCGGAGGATCTCTTATTCCTACTTTGAAGTAGGAATAAGAGATCCTCCAGAAAAGGGCGTATTTTCCAGACAATCATGTTTAGACTGGAGCTTTTCTCCGGCTTATCTCCAAGCCGGAAAAAAGCAGCAGCCATGTTAATGCAAATGCCGCGGGGGATATTTAAATCCCCCGCGGATTTGCCTATTCCAAAGTGTCTAATCTGCATCCCTTTTCCGGAAAAGGGGGCAGTGTAGACACAGCCACACAGTTCTACCCAGACCTGATCTACCCCATCCACAAATGCCCTTGTCTCCTCTGCCCCATTTCCCTCCAAACGACCCCTCCTAACTCCATCTCTCCTCCCTGCAGGGACCCCAATCAGCCAGTGCCACAGGACACCAAATTCATCCACACCAAGCCCAACCGCTTCGAGGAGGTGGTGTGGACCAAATTCAACGCCAAGGACAAGCAGTACCTCCACATCGGCCTCAAACCCCGGGTGCGCGACAACTACCGGGCCAACAAGGTGGCTTTCTGGCTGGAGCTGGTGCCTCACCTCCACCACCTGCACGACCCCGTCTACACCTCCACCACCACCCGTGTCCCACCTTATGGCACCCGCTGGCCCCCTGGCTCTCGGGCAGGGCCCAGCACCCCCCGCCGCCCCTTCCCCACCCTGCCGCCAGATGAGGACGAGGTGGACGATGGCCGGCGTTACGCCCCCTTCCCGGGGGACTCACGGGACTACTCTACCGAGCTGAGCGTTACTGTTGCTGTAGGGGCCTCCTTGCTCTTCCTCAACATCTTGGCCTTTGCTGCCCTCTACTATAAGCGGGACAAGCGGCACGAGTTGCGTGGGGGCGGCGTGGCAGGCCGGCGGCCCCGCCCCCAGCGCAACACTGCCAACGACTTGGTGCATGGGGGTCAGGAAGAGGAGCTCATGTACGACGCTCATGACCTAGAGCCGCTGCGACCTCATGACATCCTGCGCCCGGCCTGCCCTCCCGACTATACCCTGGCTCTGCGCCGGGCACCAGACGACGTGCCCCTGATGACGCCCAACACAATCACCATGATCCCCAGTACCATTACGGGAATGCAGGCCCTGCACCCATTCAACACCTTCCCCACTGGGCACAACAACACCCTGCCTCACCCTCACTCCACCACCCGGGTATAGTTTCCTCTCCCACCCCAGCCACGGGGATATTGCGGTGAAGGGACAGGACTCTCCTCTCCCCCCAGCCACCCACCCCTGACCACAAAGCGGGGGAGGGGGAGGGAGAAGATGTGGCATCTTTTGTGTGCCGTGCCGCCGGGATTTGGGGGGGGGGATGTTTTATATAATAATTAGGGGAAGGGTGCAGACAGAGATTGTAGGAGGCTATCTCCCACGCAAGATGAGATTCAACCGGTTCCTTACGCATGGACCGTGGGAATACCCCGTGTCCTTCCCTATGGGATGTCAGCACTGGGGTGGGGGGCATTGGAGAGGGACTGTCTGTCCTTTGTTTATGTTGGATGGACAGTGGAGAGGCCCACCGCCCTTCCAAACACAGTAGCTGCATCGGGGAGTAATGGAAAGACCTGCCACTACTTTGCTTCTCTTAGATGGATGATGGAGACACCCAATGTCCTTCCTATTACAGTCTCAGCACTGACCGGTGCTGGAGAAAAACCGACTGTTATTAATTCACCTTGAATGGATGATGGAGAGATGCCGACACCCTTCCTCATCTGGTAAGAGTGTGGGAAGGTGTTGGAGAGGGACTGTCCATTCTTCGTTCATCCCAGATGGGTGGTGGAGACCTCCAAGACCCTTCCCAATGCCATATCAACACTGGAGGCTAGCAGAGAGAAATTGTCCATCCTTTGTTCATCCTGGATGGATGGTGGAGACCTTCAAGACCTGTCCCAATGCCATATCAACACTGGAGGCTAGCAGAGAGAAATTGTCCATCCTTGATTCATCCTGGATGGATGGCGGAAACCTCCAAACCCTCCCCTATACCATATCAATATTGGAGGTTAGCGGAGAGTAATTATCCGTCTTTCATTCACCTTGGATGGATGATGGAGACATCCAATATCTTTCCCAGACAGTGTCAGCAATGGAAGGTTTAGAAAGAAACCAACCATTCTTCACTCATCTTGGATCAATGGCGGAGAGACACATGCAACATCCTTCCCAATGCATGAGTGCTGAATGGTGTTGGAGAGAAACCGACCATCCCTCACTTATCCTGAAGAGGTGGTGGGAATGCCAACACCTTTCTCAATGTAGGACTGGAACTGTACAGGGTTGGAGAGAAACCAAACATATTTCTCTCACCTTGGCTGGATTACAGAGATGCTCAATGATTTTCTCAATGTAGTATAGGCTCTAGGAGGTATCTGAGAGAAGCCAGCAGCCCATACTTTATCTTGGCCGGATTATGGAGATACCCAAAGTTCTACTTAGAATGGCATCAGCACCAAAGTGTTGGAGAGAGCACAACCATCCCTTAATCTTCTTGGGGTAAGGCAGAGAAACCAGCGTCTTTCCCATTGCGGATTTGGCAGTATAGGATGTTTGAGAGAAAGCAACTGTCCTTCGCACATGATGGAGAAGCCAATGCTCCCCCCATCCACCCACCCTCTGCCACCACTTCTAGAAGGTTCCAGAGGGGAAACCAGCTGCCATATGGAGGCCATAAATGGGGGAAAATTATACCTGGAAATTGTGTGTGTGGGAGTTCATTCTACTCATTTTTTCCAAGCCAAACTTTGAATGTATCGACAACTGGAGATTCAATTTTTGGGGGTGAGGGAGGGTTGGGAATGGGAGTGTGGGTTATTTTTTTAATGACTAAGAGACATTTTTGGGGGGGAATGGAATGGGAAAACTGTTTAAAAAAAGATGCATTTGCATGATCCAAACCTGATAAATGTTGACAAAATAGGGGAGGAAATGTGAAAAAAAAGAATGAACAGGGAAGGGGAAGCAGAGAGTGGAGTTGATCCATCCTCTTAATCCCTCCTCTCATCTCTGTCTCTTCACCTATGCCTGCCACTCTGCCCAAATCAGAGCTTCTCTCTCTCTGTTCCTCCACTGGCTGCGCTGCGGTCCGCATCTCTTGTTCCAGCCCTGCTGACTGTGCCAAATCCCCTCCTGCCCTACGCCCCTCCCCCTTCCCCAGAAACAAGGGAATGAGCTAATGAAAAAGTGCCAAACAGTCTGAGAGAGAGTTTTTTTGCCTGGCAGGGGCAGGGAGCTGGGAATCATGTTACCCCCATAGAGGGACGTCTCGGAGGCAGGGTAGCTGTCGGGGGCAGTCAGCAGGAGAAAAGGGGAGAGGTGTTGGATGTGAAGGTGAGCGTGAGACCCTCATGTATCCAAAGAGGGTCAGCGTGGGAGGGGGGACACAGCTTTGCACTTGAATTGTGAACAAATGGTACTAGAGCCCTGAGCTAGCCACCTGTCTGCTCTTTCTAGCCATCTCTACTGTCATGTGTGCATACATATCTTTCTAGCTGCCCGTCCATCTGTCCTTCCTCATGACATCTGTCTCTCTAGCCGCTCTTTCCCATACATATCTATCTATCTATCCCCATACTTATCAGTCTGTCTGCACACCCATATGTACTAATGTATCTATCTGCTCTTTCCCATATTTATCTAGTCAGCCAACCAGCCCACTCTATCCTTACATATCTATTCATTACCATATCTAGCTCTCTATCCATCCATCCCCAACCATATGTATCCATCTTTCTGTATGTCCACCCATTTCCATGCATGTCTTCCCATCCCCACAATCTTTCCATCCCTCCCCATGCATATCAGTCCATTACTATATCAGTCTAGGTCAGGGGTGGGGAACCTCAGGTTCAGGGGCTGAATGTGTCCCTTGGCTTGCCTGGATCCGGCACCTGAGGCTCAGGGCCCCCCCCCAGCATTGGGGAGCCTGTGCTGACACTCCAGGTCCCCTACTGCATCACTGCTGGGCTGGAGCACACAAAATCTACTAGCCTAGGTGTCCCTAGGCTCCTGTGTGTGAGGGGAATGTGGGGGAGTGTCTTTGCTGCTTCTCAGTCAGGAGCCACTTCAGGGTATGTCTACACTACCCCGCTAGTTCGAACTAGCGGGGTAATGTAGGCATACCGCACTTGCAAATGAAGCCCGGGATTTGAATTTCCCGGGCTTCATTTGCATAAGCGGGGACCCGCCATTTTTAAAACTCCGCTGGTTCGAACCCCGTGCAGCGCGGCTACACGGGGCACGAACTAGGTAGTTCGAACTAGGCTTCCTAGTTCGAACTACTGTTACTCCTCATTTCACGAGGAGTAACGGTAGGTTGAACTAGGAAGCCTAGTTCGAACTACCTAGTTCGTGCCCCGTGTAGCCGCGCTGCACGGGGTTCGAACCAGCGGAGTTTTAAAAATGGCGGGTCCCCGCTTATGCAAATGAAGCCCGGGAAATTCAAATCCCGGGCTTCATTTGCAAGTGCGGTATGCCTACATTACCCCGCTAGTTCGAACTAGCGGGGTAATGTAGGCATACCGCACTTGCAAATGAAGCCCGGGATTTGAATTTCCCGGGCTTCATTTGCATAAGCGGGGACCCGCCATTTTTAAAACTCCGCTGGTTCGAACCCCGTGCAGCGCGGCTACACGGGGCACGAACTAGGTAGTTCGAACTAGGCTTCCTAGTTCGAACTACTGTTACTCCTCATTTCACGAGGAGTAACGGTAGGTTGAACTAGGAAGCCTAGTTCGAACTACCTAGTTCGTGCCCCGTGTAGCCGCGCTGCACGGGGTTCGAACCAGCGGAGTTTTAAAAATGGCGGGTCCCCGCTTATGCAAATGAAGCCCGGGAAATTCAAATCCCGGGCTTCATTTGCAACTCCGTATGACTACATTACCCACCCTAGTTCGAACTAGGGGGGTAGTGTAGACATACCCTGGGTTAGTGGCCCCTGACCCAAAAAAGGTTCCCCACCCCTGGTCTAGATACACACTTTCTTTCCGTCTCTGAGTCTCCCCTTCTTTCCCCTTCCCACACTGGGGCACAAGATCGAGGACAGAACCCAGGTCACTCTGTCCTCCCAACACCCAGCTTCAAGTGCCCCGGCCTTTTCATCACTCTCCACCCTGGAAAAGGCCCCCAGCACCAACCTCAGAAAGCAACCCCTGAAGAGAGGCAGACGGGGACCGAGAGCAGGAGGGAGAGAATGCCTCAATCAAGAAGCACATTGTTTATTGCCTCCCTGGTCTCTGTGTCTCTCTGACTGACGCAGACCATCTTTTTGTGAGGAAAGCAGGACAACGAACGAGTGGTAGGAGGGATTGGACGCCAGGCAAGGAGGTCTCCTGACCAAAAAAGCCATCCTGGAAATCTGTCCCTCTTTGCTTTCTGTCTGGTTTTCATTTTTTTAATATGTCTGTACAGGAGATTTTGTTTGTTAAATACATTTTGTAAAATGTGCCAAATTCAGCAACTTTGGGGTGGCCAGAGAAGAGGAGGCTCTGTTTTCTGTAGGGGTATATTTTTCTGGAAGGGTTGCTTTCTTTTGCGGCATGAGTTGGCTGAGCCTCATGCTGTGCATGCCACGGAGTGTAACTCTATTCTGGGGACAGCTGCTTTTCCGGCAGGAAGACATCCCGGGGCATGTTTCTGACCTCCCTCAATGGCCTTATGCAGTTGCCAAATGACGCTCAGTCTCCTCCTCCTGTCTTGTCTTTGGACAAGCACTTGTTCGGTTCCCAAATCCAAGATGGCTGCCCCAGGCAGTGAAAGCCAAGATGACCACCAATGCCATCCAACCCTAGAGGGCTGCCAGTGTGGTGAATTCCAAGATGGCTGCCCAGGTGCTGAAATCCAAGATGGCTTTCACTGTGGCTGATGACTGATGCTGGCCAAATTCCAAGATGGCCACTGATGAGGGACTTCCTTTTCTTAAATCCAAGTTGGCTGCCTGGGGACGGGCCTTTTCCTCATCAACAATCCAACATGGATGCCTGTGGCACATTTTGGGCCATCCGTGGGGCCCGCAGCATTCTCAAAATCTGGTCCAGCCCATGTAGGCAACCTGTGGTCTACCATCAAAGAAGGCTACTAGTAAGCTCTTGTCATATTAATGTTCAACATGGCTGCCATGATGATGGCCAGATTCCCAGCTCTTTGCTTGGCCTACAGTCAAGATGGCTACCAAGGCAATTTCTTCCTTAGCCTACAGTCAAGATTGTAACCACGGCAGCCCTTTGCCTGATCTACTGTCAAGATGGCCATCATCTTCAGCCTACAACCCAGATGGTCACCAGAGACACCAAACACCCCTTCCCCAGGCAGCATGGGGAGCAGTTGTCCCATATCCTCTTATTGTCCCCCCAAGAATCAGAGAGCATCTATTTTTATTCCTGATACTCCAGGGAAGGGGAACTATTTTGGGGGAAACCCCACCCCTGCCCCTGCCAGCAAGAGACCCTGAGACTTTGGAACCCCACCTCTTGAACCAGGATCAAAGGAGACAAAAGACTCAACAAGGGGACTTTTTTTTGGCAGTGTCTGTACAATGCATAACTCCCTCCTGGGGGAATGGCTGTGTGTGCCCCTCCCACCTTAACAGCACAGACCTGGGGGGAAGAGCCATGAGGTGCGGGGGCAGAGCTGGGGGAGCGGGGAGCTGTACACATTTTTAAAACATTGCAAGAGATGAAACTTATTGTAAATATAAAATCAAAAAAGTTTAAAATGTTGGACTTGGCTCACGGTGACCACCCCATGGGGCTCCCTGCATCCCTTGGGCTCCCCCAATTCTTAGCCACCCACCCCTCCCTCTGCAGAGCTTCCTCTTCCCAGCCTTCCTCTCCTGCATATCCCATGGCTGTCCTCGACCGACCCCCAACTGCTCTTTGCCCTCCCCATCTCTTTCATCACCCAAGGCTCAAAGCTGACACAGATTGGAATCCCAGACATGGCCCAGGCCAGACTGATATTCATCCCCCACCTCCCAGATCAGACCCACAACAGCAGGGGACTGAAAAGCTCAGGGGTGGCAGGGAATGGGACAAGGGCCTGTCCCCTCTGTCCTCGACCGACCCCCAACTGCTCTTTGCCCTCCCCATCTCTTTCATCACCCAAGGCTCAAAGCTGACACAGATTGGAATCCCAGACATGGCCCAGGCCAGACTGATATTCATCCCCCACCTCCCAGATCAGACCCACAACAGCAGGGGACTGAAAAGCTCAGGGGTGGCAGGGAATGGGACAAGGGCCTGTCCCCTCTATGGGGTGCCAGCTCCCACTGAGTCGAGAGGGGGGGGGGCAGGGAATAGGGCAGGAGGTCTGATCCCTCTAGGGGGCACCATCTTGTTTGCTGGGACAGCTGGGAGGCAAAAGAGGTGGAGCCTCACAGCCCCTTCTCACTTCAGGAAAGATGTGGGGTCTTGCCCATTTTAGGGGGACTCCTCTGATGTTTTCTGGGCTCCTGGGTGTGTGCGGGGATCCAAGGGCTGCCCCTTCCCCTGGGAGCAGTGGAGTTACAGTACCACAGAACTCACACTCTAACCACCAGCCCCCACTGCCCTCTGAGAGCCATAGAGAGAACTCAGAAGTCCTGGCTCCCAATCCTCTCCTGCCCCAGGCAATTCCAGGCTGTTGCAGGGGAAGCTTCTCCCAGCCCCAGACTCTGTGTGTGTGTTTCACTGGGGGAGAAGGGAAAACAGGAATCCAGGACATTTCGCCTGCCCTCCCCTCCAAACCTTCCTCATCACTACGAGGAGAAGCGGAGCTGGGCGCTGACCTAGATATTTCTGCAACCCGTGCAAGATCCCAAAGAAGGGGGGGGGGGGGGGGGGGGGGGGCTCTCCCCTGGCTGGCAAGGCTGGCTCCAGGGCCGCGCTAGGAGGCGCTGTGGGTCAGGGAGCGGGGCAGGGAGATTTACCAGATGCTCCAGCCCAGAGGCAGCTGCATTTTATCTCTCCCCATAGAATTGCCTAAACTAAAGCACCAAGTCTGGTGAGGCATGGCTGATCTATCTACCTAGGCCGGGGAAGGGAGCCCAGGGCTGGGCTGGCAGGGGCTGTGGGTCGGGAGCGAGGGGCATCGCTCATTAATATTCTCTCCCCGTGCCGGCCTGCTATAAATAGCCGCCCGCACCCAGTCACACAGAGCCGCCTGCGCGAATCGCTGCTGAAGGTCGGGGAGGGGGGGCACTGGAGGGGGGCTTGCAGAGGTAACCATGGCAACCCTGTTCTCCGGGAGCTTGCTCACGCTGCATCGCGGAGAGACTGGGAGGGAGGCGCTGGGAGCCAGGACTCTTGGGTTCTCTCTGCGGAGACCCAGTCACAACTGGAGTGGGAATTCTTCGCCCCTCCCCCTGCATCCCACCAACCTTGGCCCCTCCCACACGCCGGCAGTGCGGGTGGTCTGTCCTGCTGTGTTCATTACTTGGGTGAGGAAGGGGATTCTAACAGCCTCAGGTGTCCTACCTGGGACTGCCTCCCTCCCCCAGGTCACAGATACACGGACGCTGAGAAGCAGCCATCTCTGGGGCGGAGCAAGCAGCTATAACAAAGGAGGCGAACGCGAGCCCTAGTGCTTCATGCTGAATTTCATTCTAGCTTCACGACCGCGCGGATAGTTCCCAGAGATGTAGCAGCTGCTGCTCGCTGCTGTCCTCCAGCCCTTGCTCCAGATTGTCTCATCCAGCAACCCTGGTTCTGCCCTGCACCCCCCCCCCACACACACACACACACTCCACGTCACTTCGCTGGCTGTAAATCAGCGGGTCATGATACTTCGACTCTCTCCCTGACTCTGGGAGGAAAGTGGTGGCAGGTAGGTAGGGGAGTGTTCGGAGTCAGGACTCGCCCGTTCCCCATCTGCTGTAGGTTCCTGGGGCTATATGGGGGCACATCTCTAGCTTGCCCCCCGCATTGTGCGACACGCGTTTTCCTGCTGGACAGGGAGACCTTTCGCGGCCTGGTCCCTGGGGTGGGTGGGAGCCGGTGGCAGGTGTATAGGCAAAAAGTGAAACCTCTCAAGGGCTCCATTCCCTGCCTTCCTGAGCCAGCCAGTCCCTGCCCTGGAGCCACCCGCAGCTCATACACACACACACACACCAGTAGGGGGCAACAGCATCTCCCAGTGCCAACTGCCGACCAGGTCACAATGGTGTCTGGCTTCCCCTCCAGGATACCCCGGGAGCTGCATCACAATGCTCCGGGCTGGGACTTGCTCGCCCCCTCCTTTCCAGCTTTCCCCCAGTCAGCGGTTCCTGGAGGCTGGGGGGCAGGGATGCAGGGCCTGGCTCTCCAGCGCCCGGTAGGGGGCAACAGCATCTCCCAGTGCCAACTGCCGACCAGGTCACAATGGTGTCTGGCTTCCCCTCCAGGATACCCCGGGAGCTGCATCACAATGCTCCGGGCTGGGACTTGCTCGCCCCCTCCTTTCCAGCTTTCCCCCAGTCAGCGGTTCCTGGAGGCTGGGGGGCAGGGATGCAGGGCCTGGCTCTCCAGCGCCCGGCCCCACCCCCTCTCCAATGGGTCTGGCCCCTGCTGCCTGGACTTTCAGGACACCATCGTACTGCTGGTCGCGCTGATCCTGCTGGTGCAAGTCGCCTTGAAGATCATGACAGTGGTGGGTGGTGTTAGGGGGCGCTGTGGGTCAGGGAGCAGGGCGGGGACTCAGCAGGGGGCGCTCTCCTCTGGCAGGCGGGGCTGTTTCAAGGGAGGTGCTAATATGCGCTGTGGGGTCGGGAGGCGGCGGAGGCAGTCGAAGCCGCCCCACCTTAGAAGTGGCTGCATTTCCGATCCCTTCCTCTTCCTCCCCTCCCCAGATCTGCTGCCAGCTCTGGAGGCTTCTCTTGGGGCTGGCAGGGTAAGTTGGGGAGCAGTGTGGGGGTGAAGAGTTGGGTCTGTGATGGGGGGGTCGCAAAAGGAAGGGCTGGGGGTTTCGGGAACCGGAAGGAACACGTGGGGGCTCCCCACGGAATGGGTTGGGTGTGGGCTAATTCTTCCTTTCTTTCTTCACAGCACTCCCATCTCCACCCGCCAATTCCACCATCCGGAAGCCTCGCTGCCCGGCGCACGACCTGAAGCCCTGTGGCCGGCGCTCCGTACACAGAGAGCTCCCCTTTCTGCGACGCTGCCTGCTTTGCCCCTGGGAACCGGTACGCCTCACCATGGACGTCAACCTGCACCGGGATCCGCCCCGGCGCCACCAGGATGCCCCGCTGTGCCGGCATGACGCCCCAAGGCGCTACCATAACTGCACATGCCCCCGGGCTGCCTCAGCCCCCTCCGCCGTGCCCGCTCCGTACACAGAGAGCTCCCCTTTCTGCGACGCTGCCTGCTTTGCCCCTGGGAACCGGTACGCCTCACCATGGACGTCAACCTGCACCGGGATCCGCCCCGGCGCCACCAGGATGCCCCGCTGTGCCGGCATGACGCCCCAAGGCGCTACCATAACTGCACATGCCCCCGGGCTGCCTCAGCCCCCTCCGCCGTGCCCCGCGAGAGTAGCTCCCCCAAGCAGCGCCCAGCTCCGGGGTCCGGTTCCGCTCCGCCAGCCGGGAAGAGCTGGCCTCGTCAGCAGCCGAGTCCCAGCGCCAGCGGCCCACCAAGGTCTACATCTATCCTGTCCACCCCGAGACGCCGCCCGCCAGCCGTGACCCCTCGCCTGGGCGCCGGGAGTTGCGCTGGAAGGAGGACGCGGCAACACCAGCAGAGGGAGCCAGGCAGAGCCAGGACATGGCCACCAACACCAGCGATGGGGAAGCGGAGAAACCAGCACCGCCCAGTGGCCACGCTCGGTACTTCAAAGCGCCAGAGCCCTCCACGCAGGACTGGGTCTACCGGCCCATCAAGGGGCCCCAGTGGAAACGGAATCAAGTGGGCTAAAGTGGAGTCCCGACCCCTTGCTTGGAAAATAAAGAGTAAAGCCGCTTAGTATCAGCGTATGAGCAGCTCCCAATGCCCTGCTCTACCCCACTCCTCTCCCAGACTGTGGTAGAAAATCCAGTAGTCCTGGTTCTTAGCTCCCCTACTCGCACCCACTCCCCTCTGGAGCTGGGAGGAGAACCAGGAGTCCTGGCTGCACATCTCATGGCACTGAGAGTCATTGGGTGAATTGGGAGGTTGCCAATTGCCCCACACTGGGGATGCACTGGGATGGGTTGAGAAGAACATCAGCTGGGAGTGTCTTGGGAGGGGAGATCCAAACAACAGCTGCCAGCATACTTTGTGGGATTTTTTAAATCCCTTCCAGGTTGCAAATTGCTCAGAATCTCCCAGTTTTGGTGTTTCCTGTGAATACTCATGATTCACTGGGAATTGCTTCCTTCCCAAATGGGCCCTACAGTTATTACACTCTACAGACAGGTTGCTGGGGATGGAGGAGAGAACAACACATCCCAGAATGCATTGGGCAAAAGGGACAAGCAGCATTAGTTTCGAAAAGACACTGGGGACATTGGTAGGACCTCATTTCCCAGCGTGCATTGGGAGTAATGGCAAGTCTACAAGTCCCAGGGAGCATTAGGAGTAACGGTAGAACTAAAATTCCCAAGGGGCATTGGGAGTCATGACAGGACTACAATTCCCAAGGTGCATTTGCAAAAAAAAAAAAAATGGCAGGACTACAATTCCCTATGAGCATTGCGGCCATAGGCAGTACTACAGTTCCCAGGGAGCACTGCGGCTATGAGCAGCACTACATTCCCCAGGGGGCAGTGGAGCTGGCTCAGCCAAGGGTGGGGCTGTCCGTTCCCAGGTGAGTTCACTGCCATGTGTGAGATCACACAAATACACAGACACACACACACCCGCTAGGCGAGATTTGCAGGGAGAGAGTCTCAGTTCCCCACACCTGGTTGGGGGCGGGGCATGTGAGTACCTGGCAGAAGCAAGAAGGCGGAAGGGAGAGAATAGCTCTCACCTAGTGGGAATGTGGAGGAGAGGTAAATCTGGGGCCTTCCTCAGGTTCTGGATCCAAGTGTGAGATCTCCAAACACCGCTCCCGCCCTCAGAAGGGACCCAGGCATCCAGCACAGGCCACATGCAGAGGTGCGAGGTAAAACAACACTGCTGCTACAAACTCAATGTTATAGTGCCCTCACTCCCGACCCACAACCCCTACCTCCCCCCCACCAACCCTGCTGGTGCCCCCTCACTCCTGACCTACAGCCCCTTCCAACCCAACCTAACCCAACCCAGCCCTGCTCACTCCCAACCTGCAGCCCCTGCCAGCCCAGCCCTGGGCTTCCCCAGTCCTGCCAATGCCTCTTACTCCTGACTGCAGCTCCTGTTAGGTTGGCCCTGGTCTCCCTTCCTCTTAGCTCTGCCAGTGCCCTTCACTCCCAACCCACAGCCCCCTAGTCCTTTCCCCCCAGCTCTACTGGTGTCCCTCACTGCCTACTTGCAGACGCTGATAGCCCAGCCCTAGACTTTCCTAACTCTGCTGGTTCCCTCACTCCAGAACCACAGGCAGTGGGAGGCATTCTGGAGAAGGATGGTAGAAGGAGACTTGTGAGGTAGTCCCTGCGTGTTGGGCTAAGTGGAGTTCCAGGGAAGGGCTGACTGTAAAGGTCAATTAGGGATGGGATGTTCCTGGAGAGGAGAAAGCTGATTGGGGGGGAAGGGATCGGGTTGGGGAAGGTTGTGGAGGATCTCTATGGGAAGGGGTGGGGAAAGTGGATAAGCTATGGGAAATGAGCTTTGGGGTAGGGATGTAAAAGTGTAGTCGATTAACCAATAAGCAAAAGCTTATAGGTTAATAGTATAGACTACACACATTCCACCCCCTCCCCCACTTGCCATTAAATTTTTTAGAAGGCTGACTAGCAGCCCAGCTCAGTTCTGGCTCATGCCAGATCTGGGAGCTCAAACCACCTCCTAGATGGGGGCTGCTGACACCCCAAGCTGCTGCCTCTTTATCAGAGGCAGCAGCACAGAGCGACATCTCAGGTCCACAAGGGGAGCTGGGTTTTAAACTGGTTCCCCTCGCAAACCAGCTCCCAGCTAGCATCCCATGCTGCTGTCTGATACAGTAGCAGCAGTGTGGCGTGGCAGGGGTCTTCTCAGGAGTGAAGCCATAGTGCACTGGCTGCTGGCCCTGCCCCCAGTGACTACAGAATAGTCGACTAATCGATACGAATTAATGAGGTTACTCAAGCGGTGAGGAGTCAATTATTCAATTAACCGGTATTTAACATCCCACTTTTAGGGCCCAGGATGGTGATGGAGGGTGAGGGGCTGGATAGGTTATGGGGTAGGATCTATGGGGGGAGATTATTGTGGAGAAGCTTTGAGGGGCTAATGTGGTGGTGGAGGCTAGGTAGGTTATGTGGCAGGAGGTATGTGGGGTAGAGTAGAAGCTTTGGGGAGCCAGGGTGGTGGTGGTGGAGGGAGGGGATGTTGATATTTAAAATGGGCTCTAGAGGTGATCCTGCCAATTATAGACTAGTAAATCTAATTTCAGTACTGGGCAAATTAGCTGAAACTACAGTAAAGACTAGAATTGTCTCTCACAGATTAACATAATTTGTTTGGGAAAAGTCAACACAGTCAAGGGAAATCATGCCTTACTGACCTAGTAGAAAAAAAAATGTAAAAAACAACAAATAATCTAGTAGCACTTTAAAGACTAACAAAACATGTAGATGGTAGTATGAGCTTTCATGGGCAAAACCCACTTCTTCAGATGTCCAGTCATGATACCATCTACATGTTTTGTTAATCTTTAAAATGCTATGAAACTATTTGTTGTTTTTTCAGATTTTCCTGTTACAGACTAACTCGGCTACCCCTCTGAAGCTTTTTACCTGGTAGAGTTCTTTGAGGGGGTCAACAAGCATGTAGACAAAGGGGAATCCAGTGGATACAATATACTTAGATTTCCAGAAAGCCTTTGACAAGGTCATTCACCAAAAGCTCTTAACTTATCCCATGACAACTTACTTTAATTATCAATCCTCTCATGAATTGATAACTGGTTACAAGACAGGAAACAAAGGATAGGAATAAATGGTCAGTTTTCAGAATGGAGAGAGGTAACTTGTAGGCTGTGTCTACACTGGGCCACTTATTCCGGAAAATCAGCCGCTTTTCCGGAATAAGCTGTGAGCTGTCTACACTGGCCCTTGAATTTCCGGAAAAGCAACGATGCTCTACTGTACAAAATCAGCCGCTATTCCGGAAAAACTATTCTGCTCCCGCTTGGGCATAAGTCCTTATTCCGGAACACCGTTCCAGAAAAGGGCCAGTGTAGACAGACCAGTAGTCTTTTCCGGAAAAAAGCCCCGATCGCGAAAATGGCGATCGGGGCTCTTTTCCGGAAAAGCGCATCTACATTGGCCACAGACTCTTTTCCGGAAAAGCAGCCTGCCAATGTAGACGCTCCTTTTCCGGAAAAACTGAAAATGGAACAGTATTCCGTTTTAAGCATTTCCGGAAATTCATGCCAGTGTAGACACAGCCGTAGTGTCCCCCAAGGGTCTGTACTGGGACCAATCCTATTGAATGTATTTATAAATGATCTGGAGAAAGGGGTAAACAATGAGGTGGCAAAAATTGCAGCTGATACTAAACTACTCAAGATAGTGAAGGCCAAAGCAGATTGTGAAGAGCTTCAAAAGGATCTCACAAAACTAGGTAACTGGCCAACAGAATGGCAAATTAATTTTAATGTTGATAAATGCAAAGTACTGCACATTGGAAAAAATAATCCCAGCTATACATACAAAATTATTAGCTATTACCATTAAAGAGAGATATCTTGGAGTCATTGTACTTAGTTCCCTGAAAACATCCACTCAACGGGCAGTAGCAGTCAAAAAAGCAAACAGAATGCTACGAATCATTTAAAAAACGGATAGAGAATAAGACAGAGAACATCTTATTGCATCTGTAAAAATCTAAGGTATACCCACATCTTGAATACTGAGTACAAGTGTGGTCACCTCATCTCAAAAAATATCTTGGCACTGAAAAAGGTTCAGAAAAGGGCAACAAAAATGACTAGAGGTTTGGAATGGCTGCCATATGAAGAGAGATTAAAAAGACTGGGACTTTTCAGCATAGAAAAGAGGAGGCTAAGGTCCATAAAATCATGACTGGTGTGGAGAAAGTGAATAAATAAAAGTTATTTACTTGTTTCCATAACATAAGAACTAGGGATCACCAAATGAAATTAATAGGTAGCAGGTTTAAAACAAACAAAGGGAAGTTTTTCTTCATGTAACGCACGGTCAATTTGTGGAACTTCTTGCCAGAGGATGTTGTGAAGATCAGGACTTTTAATAAGGTTCAAAAAAGAACTAGATAAATTCTTGGAATATAGGTCCATCAATACTTTATTAGCCAGAATGGTTAGGAATGGTGTCCCAGCCTCTGTTAGTCAGAGGCAGGAAATGGGTGACAGGAGAGGGATCACTTGATGATTACTTGTTCTGTTCACTCCCTTGGGGAATCTGGCATGGACCACTGTGTGAAGACTGGATACTGAGCTAGATGGATTTTTTTTGTCTGCCCCAGTATGGCCATTCTTATGACTAGGCAAGCGGGGTAGGTTGTGGGCAGGGTATATGGGAGGAGATTATGGTTTTGGGAGTCCTGAAGGGTTAGGGGCTAGGATGTGGAAGGGAAATCTAGGGGTGAAATGGAAGGTGGGAGCCCTCTCTGCATAGCTCCCCTCTTACTTCCCCCTTGTCTGCCCCCCTCCAAGCACCAGGCCATGGTCTCCCCAGAGAGGGATGTTGTCCCTCGCCCAGCCCAGCCCCTCACAGACCTGGATTTCCACTCTGGAGCCCGGATTGCCGAACTCAACCAGCTGGTACAAGAGCTAAGCAAGCAGACCATGTGGGACCCAGGTGTCCGGGCCGCCCCCGAACTGCTGACTCTCAAGGACTTTGTATTCTCCCTGCTGGGTGAGTGAGAGAGAATGTGCTGGCAGCCTGGAAACCAGGGTGCTTTTCCTGGTTCTGGGAAGGGAATGGGGACTGGTGATTATAGTGGAGGGTGGGGGAGTGGGAGGAAGGACTCCTGGATATTCTCTCAGTATAGTGACTCATCAACCCGGACTGCTGGGTTCCATTTTTCCAAGCTGCCCCCTCCCCCGTCCTCTTTCTTGCCAGGTCTGGTGCACAAGGTGGACAAGAAGCTTCCAGAGGCCAATGAATACCTCCTGCTCTCTGGCGGGGCACGCCAGGGCACGGTGGACTTGGACCCTGGAGTTCTGGGCTGCTACACCTCACGGGCCAACTACGATGCTGACTATACCCTCCTGGTGCCTGTTCTTCAAACCCATGGTTGCCCCATAGCTCTGGACCTGCACCGTTGCCCACCAGGCTACGCCTGGCTTCCCTTAGCCCCCTTCGGCCCAGAGGCCTGGCACCGGTGGGCTGACTGCTGCCAACACCATGATGGCCAGGCCTACTTAGCCCCTAGCCTGGTCTCAGCCTGGTTCTGCCAGACGTTGGTGGCCGTGACCAGCCAGGCCCAGGCCACCCCACAACAAGGGGAACCAACCGTGGAATGGGTGGTTGGGCAGGGTGGGCTGGTCACCCTCATGCTGCGGCATGGCACCCTCCGGGCACTGTATGATGTGGTGCCCGTTGTGGCCTTCCAGGGATGGCCGGCAGTCGCCCAGGATTGGCTGAGTCACAGCCATTTTTGGGAGGGCAAGCTGATGGAAGAGGACGTGGCCGAGGGCTTCTACCTCCTGCCCAGCTCCTGTCCGGCTTGGCGGGACTACCCTGACCAAGGCAGGACTACCCTGACCAAGGACTACCTACTCACTTGGCAGGAGTCCCTTGGCCCAGTGGAGGCCCCGGGCCTGGTGGAGACTGTGGGTAAGGCTTGGCATGAGGCCCAAAACCTGGTGGATGTGGTGGGCCTCACTTGGCATGAGGTCTCGGGCTCAGGGGAGGCTGTGGACTCAGTGAAGGCCATAGGCCCAACTTGCCATGAGGCCCAAGACCCAGTGGATGCCTCAGGCCTCGCTTGGCATGACACCTTGGACCCAGTGGAGGCCATGAGCCAACTGGAGGCCCTGGGCCCAGCAGAGGCTGTGGGCCCTGCTTGGCGAGAGGCCCAGGACGCGGCAGAGGCCACGGGCCTTGCTTGGCGCCTGTCCTTCTCCAGGAGCGAGCTGCATCTCAAGCAGGTGGTGCCGCCTCCACTGCTGCAGGCCTTTCGGGCTGCCCGGGCTGCCCTGTCCTGCACCTGGAACAAGAAGGTCGGTCCGTATCACCTCTGGACCCTGGTGCTGTGGGCCTGTGACCGCCTGCCTGCACGCTACCTGGGCCAGGAGGAAAACGCAGCCCATTGCCTGCTAGGCCTCCTGGATGACATGGTATCCAGCCTGGCCCGTGCCTCCTGTCCCCACTATTTCCTGCCCAGCTGCAACAGGCTGGAAGGGGTCTGGGAGCCGGGCCTGGCCCGCACTGTGGCTGGCGGCCCGGGGGGCCCCGCCCGGCCTTTCGGGCTGCCCGGGCTGCCCTGTCCTGCACCTGGAACAAGAAGGTCGGTCCGTATCACCTCTGGACCCTGGTGCTGTGGGCCTGTGACCGCCTGCCTGCACGCTACCTGGGCCAGGAGGAAAACGCAGCCCATTGCCTGCTAGGCCTCCTGGATGACATGGTATCCAGCCTGGCCCGTGCCTCCTGTCCCCACTATTTCCTGCCCAGCTGCAACAGGCTGGAAGGGGTCTGGGAGCCGGGCCTGGCCCGCACTGTGGCTGCCGTCCGGGGGGACCCAGCAGGACACCTGCGGCAAGCGGTGGAGAGGGTCAAGGTGGCCGCCAAGCTGGGCAGGGCTCCGGATGAGGGGTCTGAGGCTGAGGTGTAGCTGGGGGACCAGTCCATATTCTGCCACCAGGATGGGATAGGATGTCTGCATGCTAGTGGCAGGATGCTGGGGTTTTCTTCTCAACTGTGGGAGTGCAGTGGGGTCCGCTGGTTACAGCAGGAGAGCAGGGCTCCTGGGTTCTATATACTCCCACTTTCTTGGGTGATTTGAAATTTGCATGACTGCTACTGTAATGCAAATCTGCCTTTCCCAGACAGCTCAGGGTTACTAAATTTCTATCTTGGGCTACTGATTTTGTCTGTGCAATTTAAATGTGCCAAAATAAAGTGTGGGGAAGACTGATCAAAGAGAACTCTGAATTAAAGTCTTGTCATGGACAGTTGGACCTATTTGACAGCGTGTGTGTGAATGGGGACACAGCATTTTGAAGATCACTGTCAAGCTAGGAAATCCCACCGAATTTGCATATCCTTTCGAAAATAGAACGTAATCTAGACATAGCCTAATTAAAAACTAGTAGTCCAGTGGCACCTTAGAGACTAACAAATCTATTATCATTAGCTTTCGTATGTAAAACCCACTTCATCAGATGAGTTGGAGTGGAAATTACAGAGTATATATAAACAGCAAAAGCAGTTTCCTGTTAACTGTAGGGCCAATGTTAATTATGCTAATTGAGTTACAAATGGAACACATCCAGCCTAACTTTTGATGTGCAAATGCAAATATCAAAGGTGGGGGAAATTGCCTTTGTAGTGCATTAACCCAGTGTTTCCTGAATGGTGTTCCGTGGAACCTCAGGGTTCCACAAAGTGAAAATAGGGGTTCCGTGAGAAAATTCCATTACAGTCTGAATTATTGTAATGGAATGGAATTTTCATTCATTTATGAATTTTATTGAAAACAAGTTTCATCTTTGTTTGCCATGATAAGTGTCCCTGTGTAATGCCAGCTTAGCCAGAGAGCGGGGACAATGTCACTACTCAGTGCTGACAATGTCAGTCAAGGGTTCCGCAAAATTCTTTTGTGTTCAAAAAGGTTCTGTGGCCAAATAAAATTGGGAAACACTGTTAGTATCTTTATTCAAGCTGGGGCTGTGGGTCAGAACTGAGGGGTACCAGCCCCAGCAATGTGCCCACCATTAAATGTTGGGATGCAGCGTGACTGTGTATAAGTGGGTTATGCCCACAAAAGCTCATGATACCATCTACATGTTTTGTTAGTCTTTTAAGGTGCTGCTAGCCTAGTCATTGTTTTTAAGTTTTTTGGGGGGTAGAAGGGAGTTTGTGGAAAATCAAATTATTTTCTGTGTCCCTCCCAAAGAGCTTAGGGTTTGGCCTCTTTTATAGAGAAGGCAGGGCTCTACGTTTTCCTGGATGGAACGAATGGGCTCATGGAGGGCAGGTTGTTGCTCCAGTTCCCAGAAACTGCTGCATCTGTCGATCTGGAGTTCTGGGGCCTGTGGAAACGCATTTAGTTTTTTCCAACTTGAGACTTAAATAAAAGTAAATTCTAAGGCATTCGGTGGACATATTGTGATGTCTTCTGCGGGGGAGGTTTAATGGGGGAGAGGGAGCCCAGGGCTGGTCTGGTCTGGCAGCGGCTGGCTGTTGGTTGGGAGGAAGAGTCACTGGCAGAGCTGGGAGAACCCAAGGCTGGGCTGGGTTGGCAAGGGTTGCACAGAGCTGGGGGGAGAAGGAGCATGAAAGAGAGAGGCAGAGGTGGGGATAGTGGGCAGCGCCCCCCCACCTCTGCTTGGTGGGGGAGGGGCACGGAACCCACAATCTGACAATCGGGGATGGGGGCTTGGGAGCCTGAGCCATTTACCGCTTCAGCAGTTGCCTCTTTGGCTTGGCAAAGGAAGTGGCTAAATTTGCATAGGCAAATCGGCTCGGTTTTCATGAGCGAGACAGAAAGATTAGTTTCAAGGCCTCCCCTTCCTCCCGCGAGGGGCTTAGCGGGGAGCGCCGTGCCCATCAGCGAGTTCAGAGGGAGAGAAAATCCTCAGTCGTACTTTTCACTCCTAAGCTCGGACCTGGCACAACCTGACCTCCTGGGCCCCGCCGCGACTCTCCCTGGCTTCCCGGCCCGGCCTCTCGGAGAAGGTCGCTGTTAA